GGCCGGGGCGCCCCCGTTCTCATGGCTGTGGAGGAAAGCAACATTTTTAGCAGCTCTGAAGCTTGTTCTGCAACATCTTGCTTCTCGTGGTTCAATAACACTACGGCGGAGGAGAGGGCGCCAAGCTGCTTCAACTGCAGCGGCAGCTTGGTTGCTGCGGTCTTCATCATTGTTTCCGCGATGATGAGTTCTGCCTTCCGAGCTTCGGGATGCCATGCCGGAGGTAAGCAAACCACAACACAGCCCTTGGGCTCCGAGGCAGCCACCAGGCTTGTCAAGAGATCCACCGTGAGATCCCGTGTTGCGGCAGATGTAACCACAACGCAAACGGAGTCACCTTCAGAAGACCCCAGCGTCGCCACGCTGGAGCTTGGCACTGCAGAGAGGATGCTGCCCTTCTGCCGAGATAGCGCCTGCTGGAGGCCATCGAGCTTTCTAGCGGTCAACTGCGTCATGTCCGCATCACGCCGTTCCATGAGTGCTTTCATCTTCAAGAAGTAAGCTTTCAAATCGGCTTTGTACGCCTGCATGCCTGCTAGGAGCAGGGCGCCCACATCATCCTTCTGAGATTCTTTTCGCTTGAAGACCGCGCATGCCTCTCGAGCAGCTTCCTCAGCAGCTTGGATATGCATGTTCTGCTGGTTCAGATTCGCCGCAGCCACGCACTTTCGGACGAAGGACCATGCTGGAGCCGCAACCTCTGGTTGCGTGGTGTGCATGATAATGTTGTCCAGGATTCCAGTCTGAAAGTCCTGGTAGACCTCAGCAAAATCTATCCCAGGATACTTGGATTTAACCGCATCCATGCCGACCCGGAATTTGTGGCTCACAATCTTCATCTTGCAGCGGTTCTCCACACTCAGCTCCTGCAGAGAACTAGAAAGCACACGCAGCAAGCAGTCCGGCAAAGAACGCTTGCCCCACTGTTGCTGCAATCTAACAGTCCTCCATTCTCTGCACACTCGACAAGCTTTTTTTGCACTCCAACTTGAGAGGCGGATCTTTGCGCGCAGCGCACGTCACCATGGTAGACAGCCTTGGTGTTGGTAGGCAAGCAAGAAGGGGCGCAGTTTCCCAACTAATGTTCTCATCTGTGGAGCAGGACAAGGCCGAGGCACCAGCGACCCACCATGAGACACCAATCCTCCGGACACTGAACAGAATCAGCTGCTCGCTGGCGGTGGAGGGCAGGCAGCAAGAACTTCGAGTCACGGATCCAGTTGAGTGGGAAGGGTGCGCCGGAAACATTCTTCTCGATCATCCAGGCCTCAAGGAGATCCACACCGTCGGATGGAACTCGAGGAATCACCTTCAGGTACAGCACACGAGGAGTCGTGTGGAGAGAAAACTGACTTTCAGCCTTCAGGACGCCTTAAACCCAAGAAACCCGTGGTCGAGATGTCGAGACTCTTGCACATGTATATACAAGGCACCATCATGATGGCGCAACCTGGCCTTTTCGAGGCTAGTCCACTCGAACATGCGCGTGCTCTCCTTGTACTTCGATGTAACCGCCCGGCCCAGCGCTGCCCCATCTTGCTCGGCCCACAGCATCCGGGATGCCTTGAGGAGCTCCAACCATGACACCTCCAAAGCCTGTGATAGATTGAGGGTGCGGCCTACGCCGTCGGCCACGACTTCCTCGCAACGGAGCCACTCGAAAAGAAGCGTAGGCCAGTAGGCACCGGACTCACATACTGTGATGCTTTTATATACATTCTCTCTCTCTCTCTCTCTCTCTCTCTCTCTCTCTCTCTCTCTCTCTCTCTCTCTCTCTCTCTCTCCCTCCCCCGCCGGAAAACAGCGAGTGAAAGACAACTACGCCACAACACTCCTGGCGGCTTCGATGACCGGCATTCTCCACTTTCACAGCTGTCGCCATCTCGACGAGCCAAAAGGGCAGGTCTTGTTGCGTTTTCCAGAAGGTGTACAGTAGAGCGAACATCGCACACATGCGGTGGTGACCCTTCACGTAACACCAGGAGTCGTCGACGCGCGCCAACAGGATGGTATCCCAATCTCGCCACTCCATAGCGGCGCAGAGTGTGGTCATTTTATCGCCTCAGACAACATCGGGATATGTCTCCGCTCGCAAGATTTTGTACAAACAGAAGCATCAAGAATCTAAGAGTAGCACTCAATCCAGCGATGGAGACCGTACGGTGTCCACAGTCCATATGTGGAGAGCATGGCAAGAACGACAGGGGCACTGTAGCAACAGCACCTGCCTCCGGCATCACTGCTTGCGTTTTGTGGTGGCCTTGGCTGTCGGTTCGGATGTCCTGGGAGTGGGGGGAACTGGTGCCATTGCATAAAACAGCGCCTTGCATTGGAGGAACCGCAGACCGTCTTCAGCCAACCAGAGAAGTCGTCGCAAGGATTCTGCAGCTGCTGCAGAAGCTCGGCACCATGCTGTCGAGCCCATAGCACACAATCCTGCCACTGCGGAGTGAAGGAAACCCCCGACCCCCAACCTAGCCTGGAAGCAAGCATTATAAGTCACTCAGGCCTACCTGGAAGAAGCGCGGACGGCCGGGGCAGGTCCGTCCGCCGGACATAAGGCCGTAAATCCGCCGGACTTTAGGCTCCGGACATCCATAAGTTCGGCGGACTTCAGGCATCTCGCACCGGGAGGGAACACCACCAACACCTCTGGGCCAGGATGGGCCCAACAGCAAAGGGCCTTAAGTCCGCCGGACTTAAGGCTCCGGACGTCCCCGGACGTCCAGGCGGACGTCCATACGCAGTGCCGCGGTGAGTCTCTGCATGCTGTCTGGACGTCTACCCGGACGTCCGGGGACGTCTCAGGCCTTAAGTCCGGCGGACTTAAGGCATATCTCGCCTGAAGGCCGGCGGACTGAAGGCATATCTCCGCACCATCCGGGGACATGTCAAGCCATAAGTCCGGCGGACTCACGGCATCTCCCACTGGGAGTGAACCGATGGGCCTGTGGATTCGAACGGCCAGAAACACCCCATCCCGCCGCAAGCCCTGACGGACGCTACTGCCCGTTTCGACATCAAGCACCATGCAAGCACCCACTGGCCTCTAAAGCTAGCTGGGGGGCTGTCTGCTTAGCTGGGGGGCTGTTTGCTTACGCACCATAAAGGGTACTAAGCTGGGGGGCTGTTTGCTTACGCACCATAAAGGGTACTAAGCCTCACGTTAAGCCTAAAGGCACCCCATCCCGCCCAAAGCTCAGGACTGGGGCCGTCCTCTGGCGCTGGAGCCAGGTCCGCATCCAGTGCTACGGCTTCCACAGCCATGGCTGGTAGGCACGACTCTTTGAATCTTTGGATCTCTGGAGCCCCCACTCGGATCGTCGGACACTGTACACCCACTCCCACCATACAACAAACCCCAACCCCTAAACCCTAAACCCTAAACCCTAAACCCTAAACCCTAAACCCGTAACCCTAAACCCTTAATCCCTAAACCTTTTTTTTCTCCCCTCCTGCGAACATCCTCCCCAGACGGGAAAAACCGCCTGGCCGGGCAGCACGATCCCCATGCCCCCTCCCGCAGAGGCGACCTTGAAGTTTCCTTAGGGCAGAAATAGTATACGGTAACGGTCAGTAAATATAACCGAACATGGACGACCACAGAATCTTCAAGTAAGGCCACTGACCCCGCAGCAACGTCTGTACAACAAGGCCCGCGTGAGACGCACGGACTTCCGCCCCGCAGTTCCATGTCTTCAAGAGTCCACCTGCGCCATGCACGTAGCCGTGCTAGTATGGCTTCTTGTCGGGTCCTGGCGGGGGGGGGGCCTGAACGTCAACTTCTGACATGGTTTGAGACGCCTCACGGCCGTGCTGCCTCTTGGGCAGCTCGAAAGACAAGCTGCGTGGCTGCAAGTCTTCCGGCCGCTTCCTTGCTTTTTTCGAGGGCGGCGTCGCAGGAGGCGGTGTCACTGGATCGGCCCCCCCAATCTCGTGGCTGCCAATCTCGTGGCTGTGGCATGGAAAGAGAACCCCGAACCTGAATGCTTGCTGGCCGAGACAAGTCGAGGAGACCACCTCGGCCTCTTGTTCACTCCAATTGCGGCCTATGTAAAGATCGCACATAGAGTCGCAAGGAGGCAAGGACGAAACGTCAATGGAGATCTTGTGACCCGTCCAGCGCTGACTGATCTCGATGCGCCCCCCTTTCTGGACTTCCCCGCCCAAGCAGTAGATGCCCTGCGTGTGCCAATCGGGCGGAAGGGTCAGATTGAGGCCTCGGCCTCTCTTTCGGCACCGTTGCCGAAGATACTCCACGACAGTGGTCATGGTCCGACAGCAGCCTACAAGCTGGAAACCAGGCCCGACACCTGTCAAGTACTCGACAATCTGGGCCAAGCCTTGTCTGGATCCTGCGGATGGATATTTGACCGCCAACCGCCTCAGCCTGGATGGAGTAAAACTGGGCTCCAACGCGGGTAGCACCTTCCTTAGAAAAGACGCAGGGAAGGCATCACAAGCTCACCGAGCACTCACAGGAAGCGCTCTCCAACAGCCGCACATCCAACATCCGCACGTGCTAGCAAGACTCGTCTGCCACGTGTTCACTCGAACATCTCCGAGGCTCCTCACGTTACCTGGTATTGCGTCGTGGCCAACGACAACCTCCCAAATGGCTTCAACGAGCGTCGGGTCCTTTTCCATGAGTTCGCAGATCCGCCGCTTTCTCTCGTCATGCCGAGATGCCATGAGTTTGTCTGGCGCGTGCGTCTTCAATCTGCTTCAAACCGCGGGATTTTGCGGACATCCTAGCCCTGCTTATCCAGATGAATTCAAGCCAACATCCACCTTCCCAACATAACCTCATGATTCGTCTCGATCCGTTTCGACAGCTACACCTTCCCAGCGCAGACTACAGAGCATGGACCTTGGGCAAGGATGCGCAAAGAAAGGTGAGGAAACTTCGTCTTGCATCTTGTCATGTGCACATGTTGCAAAAAACTACCCTGCCATCTTTGCCGCGCACACTTCCGGGCCACCCAGGCCGCCGAGTCTGCAGCATCATGTTACGCCACAGAAGATGACACAACCGCTTGGTTGGTCTCAGGCCCCGCCCACATCATCGTGTGGCTTTGTTCTTGTACCACGCCAGCTCTCGACGACTTTCTTGCAGCTGTCCTGCATCATGAATTCCCTGGCCAGAGACTGTCCGTCCCGGCCAGAGACTATCTGAACATGTGTCGTTCAAACATGCGTTAGGATGTGGGAAACATGCTAGGCAGCACGCATCCTTCTAGCATCGTGATGTGCTCCGCGCGTCGATCCAGCTCTTGCTTGGTGTAGTAGTACTCTTGCCGCAAACTGCGAAACTTCTGGAGGAGCTCGGCATTCAGGTCGTCCGTGCCAGGGTCTTGTGAAGGAACGGATGCCGCTACAGCCTGGGGCTGCGCTGCCGACACCGCAACGTCTGAGGGCTCTTGCTTGACAACGGGCGCCTGTGCAAGCAGAACTGATGTGCAGGAGCAACGCAACGCATGTGTGTTTTCTAACATCGGAGCCTTCTCCTTCTTGGGATCCTTCGCGAATGGGAGGACGATGTATGCACCTCTAGCCGGGCGTGGGATGGTCTTGGATCCTCGGACGACCCTACGCTAGGCCCCGCCTGCAGGCAATCGCGGTCGTGAACTAGGCTTCCGCGCCTTTTCGTACTGGCGCTGTTTCTTGCGTCGGTGGTCCTTCTTGGCCTGTTCTAGCTTCTTTTTGCTGAGACCCTTGCGCTTGGCGCCCGACAGCTTCGTGGCCGGCTTGTCCTTCCTGGTCCTCTTGCTGCTGCCCACGCGGGCTTGCTTGTTGTGAGTGGCGATCGTGCGCTGCGCTGGCGCTCTCGCCATAACTAGGGGCTCAAACCAGGAAGAGTATGGACTGTGATACTCTGGAGCCACATCTTGAGCCAAAGACGATCACGCGATCACACTTCCATGTCCACGACAAGGGGTGCGCCAAACTTGAAATGAGACAACAGTTGCATCAGTTGTGTGAACACGACAAAGCTCCAGAATAAGTGTTGCAGAAGACTCGGCGCCGCCTTTCCTAGCCTTGCCCGAGCCTTGGCCGGGAAATTCTGCCGGGTGCCCGCCGCCCAGCTGCCGGGCACCCGCCGCCCAGCTGGCAGGTGTCCGGCTTAAACACTTAAGTTCTGATCGAAGCTACGTGTTCCGAAAGTGTTTCTTGGTTTTGCGGCATTCACATTCCTAGAAGCGCTTTTTTGGTTCTACAGAGCTTCTACTTCTTAAGGTTCTAGGGCATTCTCAGGGCTCCAATCAGGTTGAGATCTGAAATCCGCAACCTTGGCTTTCCGAGATAGCCGGGTGCCCGCCGTCCAGCTGCCGGGTGCCCAGCTTCATTATTGAAATTCAGAAGCTAGACGTTCCCAAACGTGTTTCTTTGTTTTGCACAGAATTCCTAGAAGAGCTTCTACTAGGTTTTGCAGAGAGGTCACGCCCAGCTGCCGGGCGCCCGCCGCCCAGCTGCCGGGTACCCGCCGCCCAGCTGGCAGGTGTCCCAGCTGGCAGGTGTCCGCTTAAACACTTCAAGTCCTGATCGAAGCTACGTGTTCCTAAACTGTTTCTTGGTTTCGCGGCATTCACATTCCTAGAAGCGCTTTTTTGGTTCTACAGAGCTTCTACTTCTTAAGGTTCTTGGGCATTCTCAGGGCTCCAATCAGGTTGAGATCTGAAATCCGCAACCTTGGCTTTCCGAGGCTGCCGGGTACCCGCCGTCCAGCTGCCGGGTGCCCAGCTTCATTATTGAAATTCAGAAGCTAGACGTTCCCAAAAGTGTTTCTTTGTTTTGCACAGAATTCCTAGAAGAGCTTCTAGGTCTTGCAGAGAGGTCACGCCCAGCTGCCGGGCGCCCGCCGCCCAGCTGCCGGGTACCCGCCGCCCAGCTGGCAGGTGTCCGCTTAAACACTTTAAGTTCTGATCAAAGCTACCTTGCAATTCTTCGGCATTGCGATGGCTCCAAACAAGTTGAAACCGGGAATCCGCAACCTCAAATTCCCGAATGGGCTACCTGAGGCATTCCGTGGCTTTGAGTGCCCAGCTTCATTACTTCAGATGCTGAGCTACACATTCCTAGAAGCGCTTTTTTGGTTCTACAGAGCTTCTACTTCTTAAGGTTCTTGCACATTCTCAGGGCTCCAATCAGGTTGAGATCTGAAATCCGCAACCTTGGCTTTCCCAGATAGCCGGGTGCCCGCCGTCCAGCTGCCGGGTGCCCAGCTTCATTATTGAAATTCAGAAGCTAGACGTTCCCAAAAGTGTTTCTTTGTTTTGCACAGAATTCCTAGAAGAGCTTCTAGGTTTTGCAGAGAGGTCACGCCCAGCTGCCGGGCGCCCGCTGCCCAGCTGCCGGGTACCCGCCGCCCAGCTGGCAGGTGTCCCAGCTGGCAGGTGTCCGCTTAAACACTTCAAGTTCTGATCGAAGCTACGTGTTCCTAAACTGTTTCTTGGTTTCGCGGCATTCACATTCCTAGAAGCGCTTTTTTGGTTCTACAGAGCTTCTACTTCTTAAGGTTCTTGGGCATTCTCAGGGCTCCAATCAGGTTGAGATCTGAAATCCGCAACCTTGGCTTTCCGAGGCTGCCGGGTACCCGCCGTCCACCGGGTGCCCAGCTTCATTATTGAAATTCAGAAGCTAGACGTTCCCAAACGTGTTTCTTTGTTTTGCACAGAATTCCTAGAAGAGCTTCTACTAGGTTTTGCAGAGAGGTCACGCCCAGCTGCCGGGCGCCCGCCGCCCAGCTGCCGGGTACCCGCCGCCCAGCTGGCAGGTGTCCCAGCTGGCAGGTGTCCGCTTAAACACTTCAAGTTCTGATCGAAGCTACGTGTTCCTAAACTGTTTCTTGGTTTCGCGGCATTCACATTCCTAGAAGCGCTTTTTTGGTTCTACAGAGCTTCTACTTCTTAAGGTTCTTGGGCATTCTCAGGGCTCCAATCAGGTTGAGATCTGAAATCCGCAACCTTGGCTTTCCGAGGCTGCCGGGTACCCGCCGTCCAGCTGCCGGGTGCCCAGCTTCATTATTGAAATTCAGAAGCTAGACGTTCCCAAAAGTGTTTCTTTGTTTTGCACAGAATTCCTAGAAGAGCTTCTAGGTCTTGCAGAGAGGTCACGCCCAGCTGCCGGGCGCCCGCCGCCCAGCTGCCGGGCACCCGCCGCCCAGCAGTTCTGATCGAAGCTATGTGTGCCTAAAGCGTTTCTTGGTTTTGCGGCATTCCTTCTACAATTCTTCGGCATTGCGATGGCTCCAAACAAGTTGAAACCGGGAATCCGCAACCTCAAATTCCCGAATGGGCTACCTGAGGCATTCCGTGGCTTTGAGTGCCCAGCTTCATTACTTCAGATGCTGAGCTACACATTCCTAGAAGCGCTTTTTTGGTTCTACAGAGCTTCTACTTCTTAAGGTTCTTGCACATTCTCAGGGCTCCAATCAGGTTGAGATCTGAAATCCGCAACCTTGGCTTTCCCAGATAGCCGGGTGCCCGCCGTCCAGCTGCCGGGTGCCCAGCTTCATTATTGAAATTCAGAAGCTAGACGTTCCCAAAAGTGTTTCTTTGTTTTGCACAGAATTCCTAGAAGAGCTTCTAGGTTTTGCAGAGAGGTCACGCCCAGCTGCCGGGCGCCCGCTGCCCAGCTGCCGGGTACCCGCCGCCCAGCTGGCAGGTGTCCCAGCTGGCAGGTGTCCGCTTAAACACTTCAAGTTCTGATCGAAGCTACGTGTTCCTAAACTGTTTCTTGGTTTCGCGGCATTCACATTCCTAGAAGCGCTTTTTTGGTTCTACAGAGCTTCTACTTCTTAAGGTTCTTGGGCATTCTCAGGGCTCCAATCAGGTTGAGATCTGAAATCCGCAACCTTGGCTTTCCGAGGCTGCCGGGTACCCGCCGTCCAGCTGCCGGGTGCCCAGCTTCATTATTGAAATTCAGAAGCTAGACGTTCCCAAAAGTGTTTCTTTGTTTTGCACAGAATTCCTAGAAGAGCTTCTAGGTTTTGCAGAGAGGTCACGCCCAGCTGCCGGGCGCCCGCCGCTCAGCTGCCGGGTACCCGCCGCCCAGCTGGCAGGTGTCCGCTTAAACACTTCAAGTTCTGATCGAAGCTATGTGTTCCTAAAGCGTTTCTTGGTTTTGCGGCATTCCTTCTACAATTCTTCGGCATTGCGATGGCTCCAAACAAGTTGAAACCGTGAATCCGCAACCTCAAATTCCCGAATGGGCTACCTGAGGCATTCCGTGGCCTTGAGTGCCCAGCTTCATTACTTCAGATGCTGAGCTAC